GAATCTCTAAAAGCAGACTCTTCAAACTTCTTTTTATTAGTTTAGACAACTCATAATTGTCCAATTGAGAAAATAGTTGAAATTTTAAAAACTACACTTTTAACATACATTTTGAATGTGACGAAATAATGAGTACAATGTAATATCTCACTATAGAATTTAAAAATATTTAGGGATACAATTCACTTTGAACTTAATCAATTTCAGCAGAATCAGTCGATTTGAACAATTTTAGTGTTATCAAACGAGCTCTATATCAAATTGAGTTTATTTTGCTTTTGCATCACATTTTATATGATTACGAAAAAATCAAATTTGAAATTAGCTAAATTATGTACCGTCCGTGCATCGCACGGGCTTGAAATCTAGTACTAGTATAAAATAACAAGGTGTATCACCTTGTTTTTCCCTCCAATCAAATGATTCACATTCATTAAACAATAAGAGTTAAATTAATAATCAGAAAATAGTGATCTATCTATAATCATACAAAATAAAAGGTGTATCACCTTACTTTTCCCTCCAATCAGACATTTAATGATTCACGCTCATTAAACAACTAGTTTTCATGCGCGCGTTGCGCGATTTGATAAATGCCAATGTGATTAATCACGAAATGTTTTCACAAAGTAACATTTATCAGGAATAGATGTTTATAACAATCGAGTAGGATGAGGTGAATCTCTTACGAAACAAGAGAAAACATGATTCTACTTTTTGGAAGGATTGCAAAATTGTTTATGAAAGACTATTTATACAGTATCTCCTAGAGTAGTAGCAATTGTCGACCATTAGCTGGAAGCAGAATCTGATAATTGCTGCAAAAAAATGAATGGTTAAGATTCGACAAAAGGTGTAGTATTTTAACGAACCGGGTTTTAATCGAACTATTCGAGTTCAAGCTCGACTTTGAACCTAATGAGCCGAGCTTAACAAGCTTTAGAACATGAACCCGAGCAAAGTTATAAGTTCGAACCATTAATCGAGTCGAGCTCGAACATAATAGTATTTGGCTCTATTCGAGCTCCAGCCTATTGAACACCTCGAAGTTATAAAGATAAATTATATATATTGCCCCAATATCTTTTGGGACTAAGGTTTGGATGTTGTTGCTGTAGTTACCTAAAATCGTAAATTTGAGCATATTTATCGAGCTTATCGAGTGCTCGATTCAAACATTGAATGCCTGTCGAGCCGAACACTAGCCTCATTTGTAAAGCTCTCTGAGCTTCGATTACAAGCCTGAACACCACTATTACCAAATTGAGCCGAACTCGAGCTCAAGGTGTTTGGGCTTGGCTCGGCTCGTTAACAACCCTAATGTGTAGGGCTTAGTTTATGTTCTGTTAGATAAAATGTTTAGAAAAAGGAAAAAATTGATTGACAGTGTATGATCACATATTTTGCATTTACTCTTTTCATTTTTATAAAAATTTCAATAATACGCCAAAGAAATAGTATGATTCCTCTAAAATCATTTCTCATAAACCCTTAATTAATTCAAGTAATAGTTCATGTTGTATGTATCCCGTGAGATGAAAGTATAATAAAGCAAAGAGGACTCATATTTATGAATGTTCCATAGCAAAGTCTTAATGGTTGAAGCTCATGCTCTAGTTCAAGCCACTCCCTAGATTTAGGAGTTTTTTTGTGGGTGGGAGGTGGGGGTGGCAAAAACATTTAAAGCTCACGTTTGACAATGAAGAAAATGATTTAATCACTTATTTATTCTCAAACCAGTCTATGCAACACATCCACTATTGGGATAAACAATGATCAAAGTATGGACTCTATCTCATAATAATATGAATTATTAGTGAGACCTTATTAGTTGTCTAAATATGTAATAACTAAAGCACCACCTCAGATCACTTAGCAAGTGTTCTGTGATGGCATCAAACAACATTCTCATAGACTTTAAACCATTGAAACCAGCATTATTAGGAAGACTCTAAAAACTACACTTTCACTTCAATTCTTTCCTAAAGGTAAGCTAAGTACTTTGTTGCCAAATAAATAGTAACTGATATGGAAAACTGGACAACAATACTTGTAATATCTTTTATCAATTTCAAAGCATTAACCATACTAACTAAGAATTCATTTGTTACAAATAACCCCTCTACAATTGAACATCCTAGGAAAAGGAAAATTAATATTCTACATTATTGTCATCCAAGTAATATAGTTTCAGATTCTACTCTTACACGTTTTTTTACCTAGAGCAGTTGAAGGTCATCTACTGGACAAAATAGTTGTTAGCGGGAGTTTTGACTATTTGAGTTGTGAATATTGTTTGACTTATATCAACTAACGAAGTTTTTGGTTTTCCATTCTGTTAGTTGATAGAAAAATTTCAGTACTTTCTCTATTAGAAAAGACTAAAGTATTTATTGACAGAATAGTTTCAGTAGTTTCTCTATTGACAGGCAGCCATGTATATTTAAGAGAACGTTTTTTTAGTTAGTTCAAAAAGTGGATTTCCCCTAGTTCTACGCGCTGGCACACACATTTTACTAATGTTAATCATGTGATATTTGTTTTCCCCTTCATTATAGCCCCAGGGGGATATCTGCTTGAATTAAATTTCAACATAGGCAATGTTTTATTGTTTTTCTGATTTATTTATTTATTAAGAATAACTGCTCTTTCACAAATAACTCAAAAAGAGACACATGTTTCAGTTTTTAATATAAAAGGCATCACATGGAATAACTAAATAAATGACTTAAGCTTATTCTTTCTTCAAAATAAAATGACTCCACCTTTACTAAACCACATGGAGCAACTACTTGGAAGTTATACTTTCTTATCATTGTGTATTACAGAGCTTATATTTCCACTTAATAGGAATAATGAAATTCATTGGGTTATATTTTTACACACCCACCGAAGTATACCCTTTAATGTTTTTCCGAGTTTATACTTAAGTAGCTAGATTCTAAAGAATTGTTGTTTAATCTTCCCACCTTGTCTCCATTAAAATATATAAGGTGCTTATTTTCTAAATACAGATGATATGATGTGAGATACTTAAAATATTCTTTTTAGTGTAAATGAACCCATCAGGCCATCATGGTGTGGATGGATATTGAAATATACTATGTAACACCTATCACTTTAAAAGTTTGATTACAGTCTTTTATGTTTACCAAAGACATAAAAGACTAAAGCACCAAAACAGAATAAGAAGGTAAAAATGAATTTATTAACTATTTAGATGGATACAAATATGCATACTTACTCGGTGTAAGTAAGTATAGTCCTAATTCCCAAAGCATACGAGAAAGAGAACTCCTAATTTTTAGTCTTGGATTTATTTTTTTAAGACAATGCACATTTGATTTGAAGGCACAAATCTCTAAACACCGGAACACCGGGTAAGAGAACTCATAAATTATAGTCTTTAGGTTTATTGCTTAAAACCCAATCAAAAGCTTGCGGGAAAGAAAACTCCTAAATATGAACGCACAAGAACAACAGAATACTCCCAAATCTGCAAAAACATTTAAATTCCTATGATCTATTTCAAGCTTAAACCTTTGCATATATTTACGGGGGAAAAGTTGGCTCAAGTCACTGAACGCACAAGAACACCGAGATAGGATGCTCGTGAATATGCATAAAATGGTCTTATGCCCTACATACTACTGTGGGCATTACCAAAAATCTGATTTGGTTGGCTGAAATAAAAATCATCAAATACATTCTCAACAATTTTAACTTGCAAGTTAGAATCCTTGCTGAGGTTTTTAGAGTTATTGAGAGTTTAACATTTAACTTCAAAGTTACATTTAACTTAGAGAAATGAAATTATTTCAATGGTCACTATGAACTGGAGAAACGGAAAAACAACTACCTGGCTGGTTAGGGCCCAAGAAGGAAACGATGGGAGCAGATGGGTATTATTCATAGTCATAATAAATTTAGTCATATTTTTATCATAGGTATTATTCTTATAAAATTATAAGAAACTACTTCTTTTTATAGAGTGAGTGGGTAAGGAGACACATCATAGAACCGTGTCATATCCTTCAAGATAAGTTGAATCTTTGTCTTTAAAATGGTCAATTTTAGTTAGATGAAGAGCCCGTTTGGTAGCACGAAAATCGGCTGTTTTGGCTGATTCTGCTGAAATTTATGAAGTTCTGGCTGAAGTGGCTGTTTTGGCTGTTTCTGCTGTTTTAAGTAAAAATTATTTTTAAAATATATTTTATTAATAAAATAAATAAAAAATTATATGTAAAAATAGTTAAAATGGTCATCTACAGTAATTTCAGCCAATACAGCCAGAAAAGTAACTCCAACCTTACTTTTTCTGCTTATTACACAATTCGGTGCGCGAAAGTAAAAGTTACGTATTTGGTGAAAAAGTTGGCTGATAAGCCTGATAAGCCGAAAAATGATGTTACCAAACGGCCTCGAATTATAACGATTTTATGAGTTTATTGATTTGTATATCCTGATAGTAATTCTTCTGAATTTTGGCAATGAACAGTTTAAGTACGATGTTGACTTCGGTTAATTATTTTGTTTATTTTTCAATCTCGATGTGAAATGGTATGATGAATAATAATTATACACCATTAAAGAGTCACACTTTTCCGCTGCTATCAAGAAAATGTATTACTCATTACATATTAATATTGTGTGTATGATATTGTGAAAGTTTTGATTTTTAAAGCTATACTATCAGTAATGTGTTTGGTTATTGGATGTCTTCAAAAGTTGATCTATAACAATTTTAACGTTCCTCAATTACTTAGATTCTTTGTAATTAGATTCTATAAACACAAAAACGTAACATAATATGTATATATTTAATGACAAGTATTTTTGTTAGTACGAAAGTATCTCAACTTCGTCGAATTAACTTTTTGCTTTGAAAAATCCATCCCAATTTTTTAAAGATGTATATATTCGAGTTGGTTAAACTATTGCCATATAACTATAATTGACTCTATCTGGGATGTTTTTAATTGGTTTTAGTTGCATACATCTGCCAATTAAAAACTCTCTCTAATTGAAATAAACATTTTTGGAGTATAGACAACTAGCACGACGAAGTGTCATTTTACCTGCAAAGTAACGCTCAGATATATAACGCCGGCAGCTCAATAAGCTCATCGTTTTCCCAGCTCTGCTGCATTCATCCAAGATCCACCGCCATCATCATCATCATCATCGTCATCTAAGTCACGGCAACCCAGACGAAATCACAGGAAACTTATCAATTGGCATTCCATTTTCCAGGTATCTTGAGCTTGCACATATGAGTATCTCATAAATTTGTTTTTAGTTTATGGTCTCATAAATTTGTTTTTAGTTTATGGTTTTGATAGTATTTCGTGTTGGTTTGGTGTGAAATATGTGTTTTCTTGAATGTTTCTTGAAACTTTGGACACATTTCTGTTAGGGTCGTCTCAAGATTGGATCTTTTTGCCCTGTTTAGATACCATTTCTGCTCACCCTATGTCATCTCCAAGATAAGATTGTTGTGATTAGTCCATGATTGGTCTAAATGTCTGAGTCTGGGTCACAATGGGTTGGAGAAGAAGGCTCCACAGCTGATGAGAATGGCATTGGCGCTGTAGAATCAACAAACATTAACCAGGTTTTTAATCAATGGATACCATCCCTCTTTTTTAAAGTTTGTTTGCTTATAAGCGTATCATTAGTGCTTATATATGTGATTTTTATTCGATGATTCGTAGCATTGAATCCCCTAGTTATGCTCTGGCCAATGGCTGATCCTGCACTTGACATAGTTTATACTATGTCTAACTGCTCTAACTCAAACTATTAATTGTTTAACTGCTCTGATTAATTAAAAAGATTGCTAAAACATGAAAAGTTCATAAATAAGTGCTCCAAATCTCTGTAGCATCTACAATGAAGTCTGAACTATAGATAATTAGATAATAAGGAGGATGAGTTAGGTATTGCTCAAAACCAAGAGGCTTACACAGTAAGCACTAGTTTTCACATAGGGGCTGTAGCCTTAAATCCTTTTGACTTCCCCGCCCCTACACAGACCTCAAGACGTAAGCCTCAATAGACCTTTTGAACCTTGAATGTAGGTTATTGGTAATACATGCATTACCATAAGTTACAGACTTTATTCATGAAAAACAAGTTATCATTTGGAACTGATAAGTTAATGCCATAGGATATCTGTTTGTCTCAATGAAAAGCTTCAAAGTTTCATGATTTTGGGTGTGAGATATTTCTTGGTTAAACTTCATTTAGGTGCTTCATGCCAACAAACAGAGGGGGGATTTTGGGGATTTTGAAGAAAGAGAAACAAGTGATGTAAAAATGGCTGAAGATGGAGGAAGAGAAGATATGTTTGTGGATTGTCCAGATGAGATAGAGACTTCTGAAACATCACCGAGTATCGGGGATAGGGATAACATACAGGACACTCAGGTTGAAGAAGAAAAAACCAGTGAGAAGAAAACACATGATTTTAAGGCTGAAGTAGAAGACTCGCAGACACCTCCTGCTGCACAAGAAAATCTTATTCATGAATACGAAGTCAGTTTTCTAAGCAACATTTGTGTGTGTGCGTGTATAATTTTTAAATTAAGGCTTGGATGTTGTTGTTATTGTGTATAATTTTACCTCCTATGCAATTGCATCATAGTCGTATCTTACTTCTTTTGCAGGTCGAAAAAGCTCTATTAATGAAAGAACTGACTCATCTTTGTAACCAACTCAAGGCCCTCAAAGAGCACCAACCATCATTAGTTAATACTATAGATGACAATGCGAGGGTTGAAGATTCTCATAAAAATGATACTGGTGTAGGGTCCACTGCATCACTGCATGGGATGATATCTGAGTGCTGCAGTTTTCTTATAGACGCTATGCAAGAACGCTCTAACACTGAGAGCAGGATAAGGGAACTCGATGCAATTTCACACATGAAGGATCATGAAATTGAGGCTCTCAATACAAAGCTTACTGAGTTTTCTGTACTAAAGGATGTTGCCCTTTCTCATTTGAGTTCTGAACAAGAGTATGCCTCATGCATTTCTGAGGTCCAAATAGAAAATAGAAAACTGATGGAAGAACTTGATAAGCACAAATCAATGCTTGAGGAGGCAAATATGGAAATTGCAAAGCTTAATGCTGAAGTTGAGCAGGAGAAGTCAAGATATACAAATACTAAAGAGAAGCTTAGTTTGGCTGTGTCAAAAGGAAAAGCTTTAGTTCAGCAGCGTGATGTACTGAAGCAATCGTTAGCTGAGAAAACAAGCGAGCTGGACAAATGTTTGGTTGAATTGCAAGAAAAGTCAAATGCTCTTGAGGTTGCAGAACAAACCAAGGAACTCTTGGCAAGAAGCAATGAGTTAGCAACCTCACTGCAGGATGCTCTCTTAGAAAAGGACAGTGTACTCCAGAAATGTGGAGGAACATTATCAGAGACTTTTGGAACTGAAGAGCTTCCACTAGCAGATATTTCTGAGAACATAAGGTGCCTTGCAGATGAAAGGAATTCATTAAAGGACATATATCTGAAATTTCAAAAAGTTACAGAGGTCATTTCGTCATTTGATTTTCCAGAAACTATGCAATCAAGCACAATTGATGAACGTATTTCTTGGCTAGTAGAGTCTCTTTATCTTGCTAAAGAAGAAGCTGGAAAGTTGCAGGAGGAGATGGCTGCATCTAAGGAGGCTGCAAATAATAAGATTGGTCAGCTAATGGCTGAGAAGAACTATCTTCATGGGAAGTTACAGGAGGAGTTAGGTGCAGCAAGAGAGGAAGCAATTAATGTAATTGATCGATTAACTGCATCCCTCTTAGTGGAAACACAGGAAAAATTCTATATTATGGAGGAACTGGGAATTTTAAATTGTATTTATGAAGACATTTCCCGGAAAGAGCATGGCTTGTCAATGGAGAAGGATCATTTTGTCAATACGCTGCTAGAGGCAGCTGCATCCGTTAAACTAAATGATCGTGAATTGGTCTGTCATCAGCAGTCTGACATATCTGCAATCATTGAAAAATGCATATTGAAGATAAAAGAGGAGAACCCTTCCGTTGAATCTTCTTATATTGAATCGGAATCTTTCCAAAATACCCAAAAAGCTTTGTATTCTAGGGATCTGGAGTTGAAGCTTTATGAGGCAATTCTTGCAGAAGAGATGCTGAATAAATTAGAACATGAAAATATCTCAAGGGAGTTGGTGATGGCCACTGAAAAACTAAATGCACTGAAAGAAGAAAATAATTCTCTGCATATGAATCTTGAACAATATGAGGAGAGAGTAGCTATGCTTAAGGAAAAATTGTCTATGTGATAGGAATGGGCCTATGGTAGATAATAATAATAAGTGGGCCTATTATTTTAGATAAAAAATGGGCTTGTACTATAAAGAGTAAGGAAGGGGGGAGGGAAAAGGGAGGCTTTTGGACTTTAGGTCTGGGACTGGGAAGACTATGGCAGTTAAAAAAGGCAAGGGAGTTGTTCAAGAGCGGGAAAACTTGAAAAGAACTTTGGATGAGAAAAATCTTGAGATTGAAAAACTAAGATCAGAACTTGAGCAGCAGCAGTCTATGTACAGTGAGTGCAAAGATCAGATTGAAAATTTATCTGCTGGCCTGGCCCTCATTCCTAAACTGGAAGCTGATCTTGCTTCTATCGAGGAACAAAAGCACCAACTCGAGCAGTTCTTGGTTGAGAGCAATGGAATACTACAACAAGTGATGGAGTCAATAGATTGCATTACTATTCCATTTGTTTCAGGTTCCGAAGGGCCTGTCCAGAAGGTCAAATCACTCATTGACTGCTTTGGAGAATGCAAACAGGAAAAGATAGAGGCACAGCAAGAGTTGGCATTGGTGAAAGATGAAGCCAATAATTTAGTTAACAAGTTATTAGAATCCCAGGAAGCCATAAAATCATTGACAGATTCCTTATCTATTGCTGAAAACAGTATCCGTCAGCTTCAAGAAGAAAAGAAAGAACAAGAATCTTCAAAGAGCTTAATAGAACAAGAATTACAAAGAACAATAGATGCCTTGTCCAATACAGAGACCAGTATCTCTCTGCTTATAAAAGACAAAAATGAACTGGAATCAGTAAGAACTTCACTTCAACAGGAATTGCAGAAAGCAGTAAGTGAAGCTTCTGCTGAGAAGAGTAAGTTTTCCGAGGTCTGTGCTAGCCAGAAAACAATTGAAGATGCCCTATTACTGGCAGAAAATAAAATCTCAGCACTAAAGAATGAGAAAGAAGATATTTTACGTAGTAGAGATGAGACTCAATTGGAATTGCAGAAAATACAGGAAGAATATTCAGCTGACAAAGGTATGCTGGCAGATGCGAATGAAACTATTCAGTCCCTTGAAGATGCATTGAGAAGGGAAAGGGAAAACATTTCCCTTATCGCAGAGGAAAACAATAAGACACAGATTGGTATTACTCTTTTGGAGACTGAGATTAAGAAGCTCAAAGAGGAGGCTGAATCTCAAAATAGCAAGCTTGCTGATGCCTCAGTCACTATAAAATCACTAGAGGGTGAATTGCGAAGTGCAGAGAACAAAATTTTTGATCTTGTTAATGACAAGAAAAATGCTGAAGAAGAGATTTCAGATCTCAATTTTAAATTGAGTAACTGCTTGCGAGAATTGGATCAATCACACGGGAGCATAGAGACAAAAGATCTAGAGTTGTCAGGTCATGTTAAAAGTCTTGTGAAAGATGGGAATTTGCTATATGCAGCATGTCAAAGATTAGAGCAGAAGTTTGAGAAAATGAATGAAATGGATTTTCATCTTAAAGAAATTGAGGACTGGTTTCCCGAAGTTAATTTCAAAGTGTTGCAATGTCATCCTCTCTTAAAGGTAAATTCACATCTTGGTTAACAACGTCTACATATGGACCTTTCCCAAATGCCCTAAATTGCTCAGTTTATGTGGTACTATTAGTACTTGAGGCTTGTGCTTTCATCCCAAAAGTCAACATGATTGGGGTAACAAAAGATTTTGTGTTAGTCTGTTATCATATTTAGCCGACGTGGGACAAACTTTTAACACTCACAACGCACTTCGTCTTATCTTGTTATTCTTTAAAAATCATATAATATGCACATGCATCCGGATAATCATCTAGGTGCGCAATTTCGTCATAACGGGGCCACACTAAGGCCACACATTGGGTTAGCTTTGATGTTGTATTAAAATTTGGGCTACACCCTAAAAGGTTAACTTAATAATGTCTTCTGCATGGATTGACCCACAAGAGATACTTGGTCCAAGAAGAGGGGCAGTCCTTTTTTCGATTCATAGACTAAGTTCATTAATGCTAATCTGAAAATATTTTAAATTGGATGTAACTCACCCCAAAAATATCCCCATAAGATGAGGCGTATGGCTTACCTTATTAAAGTATATGAAGTATCCAATAAGCAATTGATTTGTGACACTTAACAAGTAGTATATTTATTGTGTGTTAGTGACAAAGCTGACTATTGTATGTCTATTGAAAACCTCAGACAATCAGAATCACAACGTAAATATTTTCAATTCCACCAGTTACCTCTAGCAAAGTACTGGACCTCCTTGATTGTGCAGTGTGTGCCTTAAAATTGCTATCAAATGTGTCTTTTTTGTTATATGGGTTGAAGCTTAACATCTCTGCAGTTATAAATTTTCTTGGTTCCTTGTAGGATGATACTTCAAGGTCAACAGCCTTTCTATCTGGCTTTCACGATGTTCCCAACATGGAAATGGCTAATGGGGGACTAGATGCATCAAGTGATGAGATCTTGAAAACTGTGAAAGCACTCCATCATGGGAACAAAAATATTGCCGATAGGTTTGAAGGATACTCCACATTGGTTGGTGATTTGGTCACACTTTTTCCTAGGCTCATGAAATCGCTGAAGCAAAACATGGATGCTGTGGAAGCAGATAAACAGTCACTGCAAAGTAAAACTGACATGATGGAAAGGAATCTTAAGGTCTTGTATTCTGCTTGTGTTGGTGCAGTTCAAGAACTGAGTACAGAGAATAGCTCTTTTGTGATACCAGATAGTGTCGGCGAAGATGAAATTGTATTTAATTGCATCAACTCTGAGAAGGTTGCTGAGAAGCTGTTAGATGCTGCTAGACATAGCCAGGGTCTGAGGAAACAAATTGAAGATGCAAATGATCAGATGGTTGAAACCATCAAAGAACTGCAGAACAAATTGACAGAAACCAGTGTTATTTGTGAAAGAGGTTTGGAAGAAAGGGAGATATACCTAAAAAGGATCTCCCAACTGGAAAGTGGACTAGATGAAGCGAAACATTTGTGCAGTGAGTTGAGGCTTAAACTAGAAGATTATCAGGCAAATGAGGATCATTTTAAGGAGACAATGGCAGAACTTTCAGCTCTTAAAAGCACTGTTTCATTGAAAGAGCAAGGTATTCTCTTGATTTGCTTTAGCTCACTACGCTATTGAACTTTGTTACTTATGAATCAGTCGATGTATCTGGGAGGTCACTCTACTCTATCACTTTGTTTATTTTAATCCCTCTACTCTAATAAGTTCAGTTATATCATTCAATGCAATCAGTGGAAACTATTAATACTGTGAATTAATTTCTATTATTCTTTATTGTGCTTTTCTTGGGTTGGATGAGAGGATGACTTTGGAGAGAGCAAATTGGAGGGCGCATATTCGTGTGGATGATCTCTCTCTCTCTCTCTCTCTCTCTCTCTCTCTCTCTCTCTCTCTCTCTCTCTCTCTCTCTCTCTCTCTCTCTCTCTCTCTCTCTCTCTCTCCTTTTATCTTCTTTATGTTTCAATGTTCTTATGTTACTTTTATCTTTTATCTTTCTTATGTTATTTTTATCTTATATTATCTTTCTTATCTTTATTCTCTTTTTGGCTCTGATATCATGGATTGATTCATGTTAGCCGACCCCAAAATCTTTTAGGAATAAGGCTTGGATGTTGTTGCTGTTGTTGTACTCTTTACTATGCCGCGGTGAAATCACTTATGACATGTCCTTGACATTGATTTGGCATTTTTATATGGTTAAACAGGTTTTAGTTTGTTTAAAATCAGCCTACGGTGACATGAAATTATACATGCCACGCTCACGGAGTCAAATTGAATTAGTTTGACAATTATGTAAGTATCTATTTTCAAATCTGACTAGACACATCACGCCAATGTCAAGATCATGTCACAAGTGATGTCATTGCCATATAATTACTATTTGTCAACGCCATATAGTGAACAAAGTGATAGAGTAGAGGGGCCTCTCGTGTACTTTGATCCTTACGAATATCACTGTATGTCAGTATCTTCTATTGTCTTATGGTGCTCATAAATTATTATTATTATTCTTAGAGTATGAAGGCACTCTGCTGTCAGCATCTCAGATGAGGTCCCTCTTTGATAAGATAAATAAGATTGAGATTCCATTAGGAGGTCATGAGGTGGGGAATCAGGATATTCATGAGACAGCTGATGTGGGAAAGCTCTTTTATGTCATTGACAGTTTTACTGGGTTGCAGAACCAGACAAACTCGTTGTCTCATGACAAAAAAGAGTTACAGTCAACTCTTGAAAACAAAAACTTTGAAATTGAAAATCTGAATGAAGAAATGAAGAAACTCAGCAGAGATGAGAAAGATTGTGAAAAGATGAAGGATGAGTTATTAAAGGTAAAAATAGGTTTGGAAAATGTTATTCAGAAATTCGGAGAAAACAATTTGCTTGGGGCTCAAAAAGTAGCTGGTGTTTTGGGATTACTGCCCGTGGTTGAAAAGCTGGTCATGACCGTAATATATGAATCAGAAAATTTGAAGTCCCAAAAAGCAGAACTTGGTACACAATTACTTGAAATGAAAAAAAATTTAGATGAGTTATCATGCAAGGCTAGATCACTCGAAAGTTCTACTCAAGTTTATGTAATCCCTGGGGATATCGCTCCGGAAAGGGTTATGGCTGCAGCAGCTTCCTTGCCTGCTCAGTCTGAGATTTCTGAAATCCAAGACCTGGTAAACTTGATTATATTTCATCTACACTCATATATTAATCACGTTGTGCCTTTCCCAATGTTTATTTTCTTATTTATTGGTTTGTTTCTATTTTCTATTGGAATCATTAAGTTGGGCTCTTGAAAAATATCTTCGTAAAAGTTAAGTCCATAAAAAATGTTTTCTAGTTCAACTGAAGAATACTTTCTTCCCAATAGATTTATTGAAACACCCGGCTGAACTACAGTGGATCTAATTTTTAGCTAGTTCAGCCTGAAATCTTATTAACTCATCATTTTCTCTAACACTTACATTCTCAATGCTGACTTCTCTCTTTAAATTTCCAATTTGGGATTCTAATTCTTAGTCTTACATACTATGCTGTAGGGCTCCAACCCTAATAATAGCGCATCTACTTCAATCCCTTCAGCCGCTCACGTGCGAACTCTGAGAAAGGGATCTACAGATCACCTCGCAGTCACTATAGATTCTGGAACTGAGAGATTACTAAATCATGACGAAGCTAGTGAAGACAAAGGTGTTCTTTCTAAGGGTTGAAACCTCTTTCTGCTTAACAACGACCAATATTAGTGAACTTATTGCAATATATTTCCTATCTTTCAGGTCACTTATTCAAATCCCTTATAACGACGGGACTTGTTCCAAGACAAGGGAGGCTTCTTGCTGACCGGATTGACGGAATTTGGTATAGTCTTGTGATGATTATCTTCCTTCCTAATCTGAACTTTTTGAAAGATGTGAGGGGCTAATTTTAATTTGCCAGATTTTGGCTGAAAGCATTCACCCTTCACAGCCCCTACCCTCCTAACCCCTTCAAAAACCCTGCATAGAAACGTGTCCTTAGAATCATTTCCTCAAACTTGAGTTGAAATTCCGCACATGTACATTGATCTAATGGAGTCTTTTTAAAATGAACCAGGGTGTCATCCGGGCGGGCACTAATGAGTCGTCCACGAGCAAGAATAGGTCTCATTGTTTATTCATTTTTGCTGCACATATGGCTCTTGGGCACCATATTGTGATGTGGTGGCGATTCTCAACAGTGCTAGATTCCATTGATGATTGCTTTGTAGTTGTAGAAATAGGGCTCTGTCTAGCCTGCCATTATAATCTTCTGCATTTTTCATAGGTTCCTTATTGCCATAAAATGTAATTGGTATATACATTTTTTATGGGGCAAGGGCGCAAGGCTAGGGGGTGGTTATATTGCAGGAGAAGAAATGAAATTTGAGGCCTATATGGTTTAAAGTTTATGTCATTGGACTGTATGGCCTTTGCAAAAGATACAATAATGTTAGGTTCTCTACATCGCTGAGAACTGAACACATTTTATATATACATGATATACAGTTTACACTTTGGTCAATAAGATTGATGATTACGTTAACAAAGCAAAAGACATCACAATTTTGAAAAACAGAGCACTTATCAGCGCTTATATTATGAAGTCCAAAAACTCCATCATAAAGATCATGTTTTACCGTTTCTAAAACTTACATTTTTTTTTGTTTTGTTTTATGGTCCATTCTTGGGCTGCATATAGTTCCGATTTCAGAACTAGATTGAAATCGGTAAGGTAAATTGGTCCCACTTTTTTTGTTTCGGCCCTTGGGTCAGAACTAGAAGTCTAGAACTAAAAAACATACTTCCTCCATTCTTTAATAAGTGCAACACTTTCCATTTTCGGCAATTTCAAATTAAATGCAACCTTTCCATTTTAGGAAAGAAATTCTGAGCCAATTGACCTCTGTGCCCTTCCTTATTCATCGCCCTTCCTCTTCCGCTTTTTTACTTTTTCTTTGATTTCTCCACCCACTCACAATTCCATTCTTCTTTACAGCTCCTTGTATCATCTACGATTCTCTTCACCCACTCAACCAATTTTCCATTTCTTTCCATCATCCATCTTTTATGTTTCTTTTCTCTGATTTCTATTTTCGATGGTGATGAAATTGGTTGTGCTCTGGTTACTCCCCCCATGAGTTACAAACTTGGATTTGGTGGTTCCGGGTGCTCCGTTCCGTCGCATGTTCTTGCGGAAATTAAGGAGAGGAGAGGTTTCATCATTGAACCATGTCGATGTCCAATTTTACGGTGAAGGAGGTGCTGTCAAGTTTTCCGGTGAAGGAGTTGCTTGCTGTCCAATTTCTCCGTGAAGGAGGAGAGTTCATTTTTTATTGTTCTTTCTTTTTACTTTCTGTTTCAGAGAAGAAGGATGCGATCATTTCAATTTCTCCGGTGAAGGAGGTGCTGTCCGATTTCGCTGTTGAAGACGATCTTCCTTCAAAATAAGCTCCTCCATTAGCTTTTAGGTTTCTGTAGGGAAAGCACTGTAGCACTTTATGTATCGATCTGTCTGTATCTTGAAGGGTAAAATTGGAAATTCAAACTCTCGGTCAGTGTTTCTTGGTTTCTACGCCCAAGTGCATGTTGCACTTAATACCGAACGGAGGAAGTACTAGTACCAAAGTAGATCTAGTTCTCTAAAAATAGGACTGAGATTGGTAACCAAGCATTCCGGTCTTGTTGTGAGGTTACTGTGTCTAGTGAGAGGTCTCGAGTTCGAAACCCGTTAGGCACATAAGGGTTTGAAACTCAATGGAGTGAGTTTCAACCTTGATTACTTCAGTCCTTCCAGCTAGTCCTAGACTCGGGCCGGTTCGGGCTCGGGCCAGGCCTAGGCCCGGTCGGGTCTCCAGTCCTGGAATGGGGGGCCCGGAACCGGCCCGTCCTTCGCCCGGTGCCGGTTCGGGCTGGGTCACCCGCCCGGGGTCCCGGGCCGGGCCACCTGCCGGGTCGGGTCGGGCCAATGTAATTTTTTTTTACTTATTAATACAACTTAAATATGAAATACATTTTTCAAAAAATACTAATACAATAAATTCTAAGTTGTAAGTTGTAAGTTTGTAACCAATTAATTAATTAATTTGAGAAGTGCTACATATAAAAAAAAGAATGTATATTTATTTGAAATATGAACTACAACTTTACAAATTACAATAGAGAATTGAGGGAAAAATTAAAACATGAAATACATTTTATAATAAGTTGTAAAATACTAATCAATCGGAATCTCCGGCATAGGAGCCACCCTCGGTTGTTGATTCATCCATAAAGTCTTGGGAGGGGGTGGTGCTATTTTCTTGACATCTACGTATGGCTAGGCATGGACCCGGTTCGGGCCGCCTGGCCCGGGACCGGCCCGGCCCGCCACTGTGCGGGCCCGGAAGCGGCCCGGTTCTCGGGTTCGGGTCCGGCCTAGGCCCGGTGGGGGGGCGGGTCCGGGCTCGGGCCTTGTATTTGGTGAACCGGCCGGGTCGGGCCCAGGCCCGGGCCGAATTGATTTTTTTTTTTATTTTTTTTTTTTTTTCATTTTTTGGGGTTTGCCGGGTTGGGCTTGATGGTTAGGAGGGGTTTGGGGGTTTGGGGGGGGTGGGGGGGTGAGTGGGGGGGTTAGGAAAGCAAAAAAAAAAATATGACCGAACCGGAGGCCCGGCCCGGCCCGGACCCGGACCCGGCCCGGACCCGGTGGCTACCCGGGCCGGTCCCGGGCCTTCCTTCCCAAAAAAAAAAAGCCCGGCCGGGCCCGGCCCGGGTCCATGACTACGTATGGCCTTCAACCAATCGTGGTATTCAACTTGCGGATCTATGGCGTTATCGTCATACATTGGAAATAGACCAAAAAAAGCATTATAATAGAACTTCAAGCATTCTTCCAAATTACCAAGTTATAACGAGGATCGAGAATAAATGCAATACTAAAATATGCGGAATATGTGCATAATATTTTAAAAAAATTCCTTCATAAAACCACAAAAATAACTCACGTAAGCGGCATTCTCAAATTCATTAAAAGCACCGGCGAGATTAACAACTTCACGAATAAATTCGTAACACTGTTTCCAAGCTAATTTCTTTTGCCGTGTCGGGGAATGATCTTGTTAAGATTCATGGGTCCGTCTAAAATATCACTCGATAGGAAGAGTAGCACAATATCTTAATAAAACACTTTATTTGTTCATGTTTCACAATTGGTCTAGATCGTGTCATCTTTCCTTTTTCCGTTGATTCGCAATTATCATTTTTTATTATAACCACATCATCATTTTTCATAGGAGCCTACACCATGGTTGTGGATTAGTTTAGCTCTGATACCATGTTATGATTCAAAAATTCATCTCTTTTTAGATACAAAATCTCCCCCTAACTTAGGGGGTCTTCTTATTAAAAAGTCATACTTAGTTTACCATTTCCCTAACAAGTACTAATTCCAAATAGCTGAATTTTTTTTATATTTGGGAAGTTTCCAGGTTCATTTGTTGGACATGGATGTTTCAAAAAACAAGTTTTTATCACTGACTCCACTTGTTTTTAAAAAACCTTCAAGCAGCATCTATGCATACTTATCTAGCGATCAATCTTAAACCCTCTCGTTTTGGCTTCTGCCTTGACGTCCTTGTTCTTGCAACTCAATTTACCTCTATAGGCGTACATCACACTCAAGCATGTAACTTCTTCACGGTCCGCCTTATCTTCAATTCTGATAAAGTTGAAGGCTCAAAGGGATTTAGCAGTGTGACGCAGATTGTTGCGGCTTCCTTCCATTCACACTTTGCAGTTCAGTGTCATTCTTGCTTATGGGTCAAGCTGGAGGCAGAGCTTTTTCTAGAGCTTCACTGGCGGCTTCCAGTTCTGTCTTAGCCAACCTGTACGTGGTGAGACGGTCACTGAACTGTCAGATAAGGGTTAAAGTAGGGGAAACCATTCGTCCGAAACAGGATGGGGTGAAAAGCTATAAGAATCAAGTTTGAAAAGTCAGGAGCTCACAAGAGTTCTGAAAGAGCATGTGCAAGGAGATGATTGTTTTAGGTTTATGAATTCAAAAATACATCCTAAAGGGTCAACACGATAGGAGAAATAACCTAGAATCTTATATAGTAGTTTATTATATTAAACCGGCCAATTCGGTGTGAACAAATATTTCGACACGTCATCTAAGCTCAAACCAAACTTAACAACATTGTGATGTATTAATGAGCCAAACAAATCGACCCTTAACGAGCTACCATTAATCTTAAACAACTATCAAACCTCAACCGGTGTGTGAGCATGATTATTGATTGGTTTGACTCTGATACCATGTTATAATTCAGACAGTGGTGGAACCTGACCATTTTTTCAGGAGTGTTGTACAATTAGTCAAAATTAGGCCAGGAAGGCACAAGAGGGACTAATATAACTCATGTCAAAGTCATTTATATGGTTAACATGCATTTTTGTCACAATCGAAAAAAATGGTCTACCAAATTAACATACCGAATATCTATTATTAATATTAATATAAACATGGATTAGATGCTTAGGTAATTTTAGGTAAAATAGAATACAAATTTATACATAGTAGAATTTAAATTATATAAATATGAACAATTAACATACAAATTAATTACATTTTAAACAATAAGATATAGGGCGCTAATGAGTAGGAGAATAAAGGGCTAACACACGCATGGCTGCACCAGGCCTCAGCTGTACCGAATTAAGTGTTGGTAGCCGCTACACCATCCTGCATATGTGAAGTCAGATTCGTGCACATCTCATTAAGCATATGCAGATAGTGATCCATGACTATCATTCATGATGTTTCTCGAAACAAAAATAAAAAAAATAAAAATTAGGTAAATTAAGAAGTGTAGTAAATACAAATGATCAATACTTATTTAGCACTTTAAATTTGAACATTCTACTTACTTGATTATCAAAAATCAAGGTAGTGAGGGGCGCTTCTGAATAACTAATGAACTGTTTGATTTAATGTATTCATACAAATTCATTTCAAAACGCTCCATACCCATATACATGTAATTAGACCTCCCTACAGAGAGCACCGAAGAACAAGATCAATATCTACTCTTCTCAACCTTGCTGATTAGCCATTGATTTTCGCTTTTCTTCCTCTCCTTCTTCCATTCGACCTCACAGCTCGCTATTTTCACCTCGGCCATTTCTAATTGCTTTCAACACAAGACCTAATTTTTAGACTCTCTTGGAATCTTGGTTTCAAAATTCAGATTTAATTTGTCTTTTTGGTTTTGTAATTCAATACATATGGATTTGATGACAAAATAACCTTGCAACGTTGTTTTGGTACCACTTAACCAAACAACATTGCTTGTATAGTTTAGAAAGATCCAGTGACTACTTCTATAATATGTGATGGACAACAAATAACAACTTTAATATATATTCTTGCTGCTAGTTTCCGATCTCATTGTCTCGCCTTATCTCTAATATAGTTTTTATTTGACAAACGAGTTCCTTCTAACCATGGATTATGCTAAACAACAATCAAACATTAATCGAATCTGG